TCAGTGACAATGTTTGGATTTGAAATCAAACTAATGGATAAATGTTGTGTTTGTGGTAAACAGCCACGGACCAGTAGTGGACTCCTGTGTGAAAGCTGCTTCCCCTCTCTTAAGAGTCACCTAAGAGTGGAATTCCCCCCATTTTCAAAAATAAATGTCCTGCCCTGAATAAATGTCTAAACATCCTGATTGGAGTATCACTATGAATAGTTATAAATAATAAAAAGAAGGCTTTAAAAGATCTGTATCGGTGATCGGTATCGGCAGAGACTGCTTTCTGTGATCAGCGATCGGTGATCGGCCTCAAAAATCCTAATCGGAGCACCCCTAGTTTAGACACTGTCTGCCCCTTGTCTTCCAGGCATACATCACATTACGAAACAAAATGGGTTGCGAATGCTGTTTTATGTTGACTTTTAAAGCACCTTTTCTGTTTAAGAATAGATAACTTGTTAGATTTCCGCCTATAATTAACTGCTCAGTTGCAGCTACGTTTTCTGTTATGTTGTTCACTTTTAATGTCGAGCAGAAATATTTCAGGTACATTTGGTTTCTGATTCCAGGTACAGTTTAAATCCCATGAGAAATCGTCCCTAACTGCCTGCTAATTTGTCCCCATGAGGGTGTTATGTGAGGATGGCAGACTCTAGGGGTGCTCCGATTGATCGGCTACCGATCACTATCGGCCGATAATCGATTTGGGATGATTGATCGGCGGTCTCTAAAAAGGCCGATCTCAAAAAAACGATGAGGTGAAAAGCTGATGAGGCGCCTGCCGTCAGAGGTTTGGCACGACATGCAGCGGCACCGTCTCAGTCTCTGTCCAGTGCGGGTGAAATAATTATAATGCTGAAGGTGAGGTACTCACCTTCATATGTCTTAATTAAATAACTTATAAAGTCATTTGAAAACCTTGTGTGAGACGTAATTTCACAAACGGCGTGAGTGAATCACAGCGCGCGCGCTCTCTCTTTCTCTATAAGCGAGCTACACGCTGCACAGTTGACACAGGAATTGTCAATTGCACAATCGAGGCAGTGTCACATCATCACTAACGTTTATAAACTGTGGTGCAAATCACAAAATCCTACTGACCTTAATGTATATCGATCACCCCTCTCTTCATTCTCTGCTAATGTCTCTAAAAGGACATACTATCACAACAAAATTAATAATTCGCCTAACTCTCACATGCTCTTTAAAACATTTTCCTCCCTCCTTTGTCCTCCTCCTCCCCCTCCGTCATCAACTCGAACAGCTGACGAATTTGCCACATTCTTCATTAATAAAATTACAAACCTCAGTACACAATTTGCCACACCACAAACTGTCAAACACATCTTACCAGCAAACATACACTCGTTTTCATCCTTCCTCCACTCTCTGAGGCAGAAGTCTCTAAACTGATCCTTTCCAATCATCCTACTACTTGTCCGCTTGATCCTATTCCATCTCATCTCCTTCAAGCCATTTCTCCTGCCGTTTTACCTGCACTCACTCACATCATTAACATATCCCTTCACACTGGTGTTTTTTCCTCAACATTTAAACAGGCTTGTATAACCCCACTACTTAAGAATCCCACTCTTAACCCAACTCTTTTAGAGAACTACAGACCGGTTTCCCTTCTACCTTTTCATTGCAAAAACACTTGAACGAGTTGTGTTCAACCAAGTCTCAGCCTTTATCACACAGAATTACCTCCTGGACAGCAACCAATCTGGCTTCAGAAGTGGACATTCGACAGAGACTGCCTTGCTTTCAGTTGTTGAAGCCCTAAGACTGGCAAGAGCAGCTTCCAAATCTTCTATACTGATCTTGCTGGATCTGTCCGCTGCTTTTGATATGGTGAACCACCAGATTCTCCTGTCAACCCTATTGGCAAAGGGCATCTCAGAAGCCGCACACCAGTGGTTTGAGTCTTGCTAAAACTGCCCGGTCCTGCAGATTTGCTTTATACAACATTAGGAAGATCAGGCCCTTTCTTTCAGAACATGCAACACAACTCCTTGTTCAAGCTCTTGTTCTATCCAGGCTGGACTATTGCAATGCTCTCTTGGCAGGTCTTCCAGCCATTTCTATCAAACCTCTACAATTAATCCAAAATGCCGCTGCAAGATTAATCTTTAATGAGCCGAAAAGAACGCATGTCACACCTCTGTTCATCCATTTGCACTGGCTACCAGTAGCTGCTCGCATTAAATTCAAGGCATTAATGTTTGCCTACTTTATCTATTTATCTTCTTTTTTTTATTTAAAAAAAGCTTTCTATTCTATCTACTTGTTTTTCTGTGTGTGTGTGTATAACATATATATATATATATATATATATATATATATATACCTTGCTACGTGTACTGCGTTGAGACTTGTCATTTGCACTTATATATTGTTGCTCTTTTGTTAGTTTTGACTGCTTTTATTGTCCTCGTTTGTAAGTCGTTTTGGATAAAAGCGTCTGCTAAATGACTAAATGTAAATCACACAGAGTATGCGTGCACTCTATGGGTGTGTTTTTGTGATATGCTCGATAATGTTAGATCACACATATGTGTATTTCTTAAATGTACCCAGGGTAAAGAATAAAATAAAGAAAGTAATAGGACTAACCTGTTGAAGAACAGTAACAGCAGATGCCCATCCAGGAAATGTGAACAAGAGTTTGCTGGAGTAAGAAAAGCAGAATTCGGTTTCAATTTTTCGATTATCAAACAACATTTGCTGTACTACATTATATGTACCGCTACATAATTAACATAGAAGTTCAATCTCAAAAATTCTGTTAAGAAATTCTAATAAATATATTTTTTTTAATTCTAAAATAAATGTTATTTGAATATAATTTAAATATTTTAACATTTTAATGTAATATAAAATGTAATTTATTTCTGTGATGGCAAAGCTGAATTTTTGAAAAGTAATATCTGAAATAGAAATCTTTTGTAACATTAGAAATGTCTTTACTGTCACTTTTGACAATTGTATGCATCCTTGCTAAATTAAAGCATTGTTTATTTATTTATTTTTGAAAAGTAATATACATCATAGCAGCATTTGGTGTGCTGGCTTTAATCATGCTGATTTTAATTT